GTGTGTTTATAAGTAGTTTTAAACCTTGTGATCCACAAAACAGCATAAGAGTAAAAGAGTAAAAGAAGAACTGACTGCGTTACAGCACCCGCTGCTTGTTGAGAGTAAAAGCAATACACGCTTTCACGTCTTTTTTTAGCGACTTTTTTTTAGAAAAAAAAGTCACTAAGGGGTCTGAAAACTCGCTAAATATAGCGACAAAGTCGCTAAGTTGGCAACACTGATCATTACTATTATTATTATCCGCAGAAAACAACTGTACCTTTAAATTCCCTATTTGTGTTTTAAAATGCATAATGTCAGTGTTTTGGTTCATTAATGCGAAGCTCTTGCCTGCAGTGTCATTAGAGTTACTCTACATGTTTTAAAAGGTCAACAGCAAAACAACAAACTCTACAATGATGCAAAGGATTGTAAAGATTAAATATATAAAGATTTTTGGTTAACACTTTCTACTATCCCTTTTCTGTACTCACCTATGGGGGTCTTTGGCGCTCACTATGATATGAACACATTCTCTCTTGCTGAATGCTCTTTCTATCCACGATTTCTGTGCCTGCAACAAAAACAAGACAAAAGAAAAGACAAAAGAAGTCAGTGTCAAATAAAGGAGCTAAGAATTGAACATGGAGAAGTGACACACAGCAAAAACAGCCTTACATTAGTCCATCAAGAGCTCAGAGTCCTGCTTTGTTGCATGGCAAACAGAGCATACAAAATAGGACCTTGGAACAAATGCCTTAAAAATACTTAAAAAACATCTCAGCCTTGTTCAAGAACGGAAATCACAGCACAGTGGAATGACACACATATGCAGACGCAGCACACACACAAAGACACATGTAGTCCCTGACCCATTATTCAAACACTGACACTCGGATAGAGAAATGTTTTATGTTACTCAGTGGCTAGATCTCAAACCAGATGAGATGAAGAGCTTGGATGTCGAAAAGGGATGATAAATGCACTGAAGCGGTAAACTATGTCAGAGGTCTAGTCCTTAGACGTGCATATGTGTAGCCAGCTTAGTGTGAGTATATTCCAGCTTCATGTATGGGTGCACATTTGTTTGAAAAAGTGTGGGTAGATCTTTCTACGTCTGATTTGAAGCAGCCTGTGAAATGAGGCTTTTGTGAGACACATGTGCTCCGGGTCTGAGTGACAGAGTGTCTGACTGGAGTTAATTACCTCGCTAAAGACATGACAGACACACGGTGGAACCACATGTGCAGTGCAGGAAGAGAAATTATTAAAGTGCTTTTTCTGGTCTTAGCGAACACTCAAATCACTTTACAATACAAGGCATAATTCTTGCTTTTTTTTAAAAAAATATTAAGATCACATACACACACACATACACAAACACATACACACATTGATGGATGTATCAAAGGTAGTTTTTTGGGTTCATCATGTTGTCCAAGGGCATTTCCACATGTACATTGAGGAGGAGCTGATGATCGAATCCCTGACCTTGTGATTAGCGTATGAGCCGCTCTGCCTCCTAATCTGCCACACATCTATATACAGTAGATATTTCCACACATCGAAGCATGATTAAATACTGACCCATAGCAACCTCAGAGTTGTGATAGCACTGAACAATTTCTGGCAGAGGTTACAGTGACCTGTAAATAATAATGTTGTATTTTCACAATATATAAAAAGTAAGATGGCTAACAGGTACCGTGAAATGTCACAAGGCGAAATAACTAAATCTTTTTTGACATTTTCTTTGAAAATCCCCCTCAGCACTATAAGGAAAAACACTGCTGTTTTCTTGTGGTATTTTCCTGTGTGTGTGTGTGTCTGCTTTCTATCACGTTGCTACTACAAGATGATTATCGGCATGTCAGCTTAAGTGTCCCTTCATTGATTCGTTACAAGCTAGATACATTTTAATGCCACGCCAAAAGAGATCAATGTCTTTGCTTTCCCTTTTATTGTAATTGTATTTTAACTTTGGAAGTAAAAGTTTCTAGGAAGAGACTACGGGAAGTTTTGTGAGACACCAGAGGTCCAGAACAGGACCGAATGTCATTCAGCCAACCAGATGAGATACCCAAACTCACAGAGCAGAGGGAGCAGAACGGCCATGAAAACAAAAGAACAGAGCTTTTTTTTTTTCTACTCTGGGAGAGCTGCCCCAGCTTTTCTCCCAGCCAGCAGAGCAAAGAGCTGCTTGTACAGGGCTTTCCCCACAACAACACACGCCCCATCCGCCTGACTGGCCCTGTCACACCATGGTACGGCAAAACCCACCGCAACTGTCCACAATCAGGCCGGGCCTGCACACAGCCACACTTACCCTAACACCAGACTTCCCACGATTAACCATTACTCTGGGGGGCTGATGGGGCTGCTTTTTACAGATCACCCAGCCACGATGACTCAGCGGGCCACAACAACACCCCCAGCCCCATTCTTTCTCACATTCTAAACCTGTGTATTCATCCGCCAGCTACCCTTGGCACAAAATAGATCGGTTACATGTTTTGTTTTGTTTTTAGAATTGTTAATATTGACTGAACTGATTGCAAAATCACCAGCAGCAACACAAAATTGGCTGCTGGTGAGTTTCTGGTTTTAGAAGTAATGACCAGAGTGGGTCTACCCAAGAGGATCCAATACAAAGATTGTCTTCCCCCTGGATCCCACCTGTGCAGGTCTGAATTTCCTTCTTTCTTCACATACCAGATACACATTTGCTTGCATCTGATTTTCTTGCTCTTGCTCTTCCTCTTCTATTCTTTTGTGTTGCTTATGAGATTTGACATGGTGTGATGAGATGGCACATGGCCTGCACTCCATTGTGTAATTAAGATTTATCGCCAAGGAGCACTTGTACACACGCACACACAGACATGTCTAGCAAAATATTGGACTGATTCTTATGCGTGCATGTGTGTCTCGGGCCTGACATGCAGCAAGTGTGCAGCATTTGACAGTCTGTAAGGGTCCTTGACTCCATTACACTTCCACCACCTCCACCCTCTTCTCTCTGTCCTCTCATCCAGCTCCCTTACTATTGTGTCTCTTCTTTGTTATTGGCACTGGCAGGGAGCTGAATTGAGAACCATATCCAATCAGCCACCTAATCTGTCCGCTCGCTCCCTTTTCTTTATCTTTTCCTCTTAACGCACACAAATCTACTCAGCTCTTATTTGAGCATACAGGTGAGCTAGTGGACTGTATACAGAGAATGTTTTAACATTAAATATATCGCCATTGCTTTTCTTCCTAGACTGCTTTAAATCTTTATCTTCGACTCTTTGTGGACCTCTTCGGTGCCTCACAATGAATTTATTTATACTGCCAGTTCAGAGATGAAAGAAAGAAAGTGGAAAAGCTGATCTCTACTTTTGGTTTACTTTGATTTTACACGCATCAGAAATGACATAACTCAAAAAGATATTGCATTTTGGAAAAAAAATAAATGCCAGTAGATGCTGATCAAATATATGATGCAATCAAGATGAGTTACAATCAGGCCACATTTTTGATTATAACGAAAGATTAAGGCTTCCTACCTTAGGTTGAAAGCCAAACAATTTAAGGTAGAAATAACAGCTTAATTACATAATTAATTGAGTTCTCGTTCGTATTGTTCCCACATTTAATTTAAAATTAGACAACTAGAGAATACCAAAGCAAAGATTTAAATAGGATATTGTGTAAGCTTTAATGTGCTCAGTTATCTTTGACACATGGCACCGTTTTCAGTTTTTCAGCCAGAATAGGATCTAAATAGAATCTCCACAAATAGAATTTAAAAAAGAGAGAAGTTGATGTAAATAAACATCAAGTGCATCAATGATAAAAATAAAAAAATAAAGGTCAGGCTGCTATTTAGGGGTTTTTAAGAACAAGAGTGTGACGCACATGTGTCTGGATTTGTTAACTCACCTGTATTGTTTGATGTGCTGCACTGTTGTGGCCTTTCCTTCATAGTCAGTGTTGATGTTGGTGTTATGATCCTGCCCAAAAAACTAGAAGCAACTAAAATAACTTGATCAGAGCACACCTGATCAGGCAACCTCTCTGTCCACGGGCAACTGATCTACTCAGGGACTGATATCATTGCTGGAATGTGTGTGCGTGTGTGTTAGTGTGTGTTTGCATGCAGGCGTGTGGATGTGTGGGCGGGTATTTCACTCGTGTTATGGGGACATGGCTCTGTTTTCACATTCATATGATTTTCTTTTCCTTTTTCACTCTGGATTTTTTTTTAAATGTCTTTCAAAGACAATCAAATTTGAAAGTGTAAGTGTGTTTTAAGCATGTTTTTAATCGTAAAGAGTATGATTAGTAATATTTATTATTTTGGCTTAGTCACTTGAGTGTGTGCAATAGTGTGTATCCACAGTCTCTGCTAAGTTAACAAACTGAGGACTGGAATAAAATAATTTTAAAACAATTCTATATGAGAAACCAGCTAGCTAGCTAGTTACAAGAAATACCACAAGTGTCTGACCTCTGTCAAATATTCAAAAGTCTGTGTCCTTTCTCAGAAACAGTGAGCACATCCACTCCTCTTCAGTACCTCACCTGTTTAAGCTTCAAATTTAGGTTGGAGAAACGGTTTTTATGTGTATGTGTGCGTGTGTCCCTTAGCTACATTTCTGTCAGAGATCAAGACCCAGTGGAGTGTCTGAATGGCAGGCAAGCCTATTAGGTGGAGAAATATGACATTCGTCTAGGCCTGCTCACCATCCTTATTTTGTCCTCAGTGACAAACACCCAGACACACAGTTGTACATGAGTTTTTCCCTTCCACCTGCAGTTTTCCTGGTGCTTTTTTGGAGTGCGAGGGCATTTTCCAACCTGTTTTCATAAAGCGGATTAAGAGAAGTGTAGATAATACACACCAGGTTTAATTACCTTGAGCGGCAGGGGAAACTGGGCACATAAGACTTTAATCTCAAGTAAATTAAGTTATCAATGCACAAGCAGGACAAAACACAGTTGGGAATGAGAATGTACTTTCCAAAAAATTGTTCATATTGCTTATTTTAAAGACAACAACAAAATGTGGATCTAAGCAAAAAAATCAGAAACAAGGCTGTTCTGAAGTTTCACTGAGGTGTAGTCCCAACAATTTTACAACATTTACAACATTCAGAATTTCAGCCTGATTAAAACATCTACTCTGGATCCCTGCATGTCGTTTTCCTTTGTATCTATTTTTACGTATCACACATTCCCCCACTCACCTATGGCCACGAGCTGTGTGTGGGTAGTGACCAAAGGAGTACGATTGCTGATACATGAACATCCTGTGAAGGGTAGCCGGGCTGTCACTTAGCAATAAGGTGAGCAGCTTGGTCATCTGAGAGGGACTCAGAGTAGAGCCACGAGTCCTCCACATGGAAAGGAGCCAGTTGAGATGATTCACGCATCTGACTGGGCTTCCTTGTGGGCGCTTCCTAAATGAGATGTTTCAGGCATGACCTGGCAGGAGGAGGCCCTGGGGCAGATACAAGATGTACTGGAGAGATTATGTCTCTTGGCTGGTATTCCCCAGACAAACTGGAGGAAGTGGCCAGGTATCTCTGCTTAGACTGCTGCCCCTGCAAACTGGCAATGACAACTGGCCATGTACCTGAGCTTCTTGTACTGCATATAGAGCAATTTTGGTTACTAATGCTATTTGATATTTGGATGAGAGTATACAACGCAGTTAATTGCTATTATATATCCAGATATTGAGAGGCACATTTAATTAAACACTGAAAAAAAAAAGATCTTCCTTTACAAAACTAATGCGTGATTTCAATTACATTTAATCCAATTCATCATGATGCAGCACATCTATTGCAGGTTGGGTCCAATTAAACAAACCTGTCCTGCTGAAAGTTCTATTCTGCATTTCAGTGTCAAAACGTCTCCTTATCACAGTGCATGAATTGATTTTTCGTTGTTTTATATGTAGGCAACACTATTTTGATATATGTAATATTGTCTGCTGGAATAAATCTGGGGATTTTTCACATCTAGCAAAGCAAAGTGAAAAACCTTTACGAGATACTTGTTGACAATAACATCACATTTGCCATTTTTTTCCTGTAAGATTTCATGCTTCTATGTGAAGAAATCAGAAAATCGATGCCTGCTGGTTTTGTTGACTGTAAATAGTGGTTCACACAGACATTTGAAGGTCCTGCCAAATAACGAGCCTCTAATGGACTAGACGGGTACCTTCCATTCAGATTCTCCATCTGATGAATGAAATGAGCAGCAGAGGTCATTTGGCTTGTCCCCTCAAATCCATTGAGCACACTGGGTGCGAGTGGGATGCTTTTACACACCGATGAAATTCAAATGAAAGCGTGTAGGATGCACAAGCTAATTAAGATATAAGCATATAGTAGCAGTGAATTAGTTCAGAGTTAAATCGATGTGAAGCACTATGGATGTGGCTGAGTGATCAGTGTGGCCTGGTTACGCCGATGATAAGGTAAAGCAAACAGTTTCGAGGGTCAGTATGCAGAAAGGCGTCTCTAGAGTTCTTGCATGCTCTGAACACAGAACAGTCAGATCTGAATTGACAGAGTATCACTGAGGTTGAAACAAATTCAAACAAAATCTAGTAATGTAGATTGATCATGCTGATCACCTAATAGCATATGTTAGATCCCGGTCTCCAGAGGTGGGAAGTAACGAAGTACAAATACTTACAAATATTGTACTTGACAATAATTTTCAGGTATCTATAATTTTTCTGAAACCTTTCTATTTTCACTCCCTACATTAAAAAAAAGTCTGTTATTTCCACTCCTTACATTTACATCAATAGCATCATTAATAGCATTTATACTTAGGCGTTAAAGTGGACCGGAAGCAGTGCAGGTTTCCATAAGTTCAGAATCTAGCTAGCACTACAGAAGAGGAGAAAGAATTAAGGCAGTGTTTTTTAAAGAGTCAGGTAATTTCAAATTCAACAATTTATCAACGTTCAAATGCATTGTTTTCATTTTGTGAAACGTCCTGCAAAACAAATTAAGCTATACTAACTGTGGGTTATTCAAATGTTGCATGAATATACTGGGTAGTTTTGTCCAGTAGATTTTCACTTTTACTTGAGTAAAAAAAAGTTGCTTCAGTACTTTTTAACACAGGTATCTGTACTTCTCTGCCTCTCTCTGAGGTATCTTTAACCTATACAACAAGGATAAGATGAAAACCACTATAACTAATCCCACAGGCACAGTGATCTCTGTAAGATCAAGAGTTATTTCACTGGTAAACAACACTTGACTGTAACTTAACAACAACCCAGCCCCCCCAAAACCAATGCCAGCTCCCTGTACTTGTAATAAAGATGAGGTCAGTGCCTCCAAAGGCAGGTCTTGTCAAGGAGAGGAAGTGAAGTGAGGCAGCACTCACTAACCTGATGCAGATACCAGTTATATCTTCCGGTGTCTGCATCAGAGTAGCCAAGAGCGCAGGTAGCATGTACGCATGCATGGTTTCGGTCTGCCACACATTTACATACCAAGTGAGTTTTCCACGTGTTTCAGCATTTTCCAGCTAAAGAGAGATGCAAAAGATGAAAACTGAAAAATGGCAACAGAGTAACCGAGCTGAGTTACAGGAACGTCAGTAATAATTTGTGCATTCATGCATTCCCAGTGATTATTTTGACTTAGTTATTCATTAGTTCAGG